TGAATACTAATTATTTCCCCAATTTGATCTGCAATGCCAGTATCAAATGCCACATATCAGGTTTCTATGTGTACCCTCCTATAATCTGATGGGACCACTGTTGTATATGCAGTTCATCATTGACCGAAATATCATTATGCAGCTCATGGACTCTATACGAAAAGGCTGCCAAGAACTGATGGGGGCCGGGCGTGGTGGCTCAAGCCTGTAATCCCAGCACTTTGGGAGGCCGAGGCGGGTGGATCACGAGGTCAAGAGATCGAGACCATCCTGGTCAACATGGTGAAACCCCGTCTCTACTAAAAAAAATACAAAAAATTAGCTGGGCATGGTGGTGCGTGCCTGTAATCCCAGCTACTCAGGAGGCTGAGGCAGGAGAATTGCCTGAACCCAGGAGGCGGAGGTTGCGGTGAGCCGAGATCGCGCCATTGCACTCCAGCCTGGGTAACAAGAGTGAAACTCCGTCTCAAAAAAAAAAAAAAAAAAAAAAAAAAAAAAAAAAAAAAAAAAAAAAAAAAAAAAAAAAAAAAAAAAGAACTGATGGGATCAGAGATGAAGCAGTCAAAGTTCTATCCTCAAGGAATTTATAGTCTTATGGGAGAAATAGATACAGGCTTAAAACATCTAGGAACCAAGACATTAGTGACAAATGTGATTTAACCCAAAGAGACTCAAGCACAAAGTATTGTGAGACTTTCCAGGAGGACTAATTGAAGTTGACTGAGGGGCAGAGGAGGTTCCACAAAGGAAGTGGCATTTGAGCTGGGATTGGTAGGACAGGTCATTGATTTATCAGTATAGATCATCATTTTGGTGATTAAAAATAGATGACTTTATGTTTGTAATCCTAGCACTTTGGGAGGACAAGGGAGGAGTATCACTTGAAGCCAGGAGTTCGAGACCAGCCTGGGCAACAAAGCGAGACTCTTTGCCTTGCAAAAAAAATAAAATAACATAGCCAGGAGCAATGGCATATTCCCAGCTACCTGGGAGGATGAGGCATTAGGATCGTTTGACTCAAGAGGCGTTCAAGGCTGCAAACGACCTGTGATGGCACCACTACACTTCAGCCTGGGTGACACAGAAAGTCCCCAACTGAAAAAAAAAAAAAAAAAAGGTGACTTTAAACAAATGCTTCAGAAAACATTTTGTCCCCATATAGATATTATGTATCCTTAGGGCCAAAGGCAGAATGTTCTATACTTGGGTTCTGGAATTAGGACCTCAGAATCAAGATAAAGCCAAAACAGCTTTGGTTCTTGGTACACCAATGGGGGAAGATATTGCTTCCATGTGTAGAAATACATGCATAAAACACATTCAATTCAGAATGTCTTAGCATGCTGCTATTTCTACTCTTTAAAAACAAAATAAAGGCCAGGCACAGTGGTTCGTGCCTGTAATCCCAACACTTTTGGAAGCCGAGGAGGGTAGATGACCTGAGGTCAAGAGTTTGAGACCAGCCTGGCCAACGTGGTGAAACCCCGTCTCTACTAAAAATACAAAAAATTATCCAGGTATGGTGGCATGCGCCTATAATCCCAGCTACTCAGGAGGCTGAGGCAGGAGAATAGTTGAATCTGGGAGGCGGAGGTTGTAGTGAGCCAACATCGCGCCACTGCACTCCAGCCTGGGTGACAGAGCAAGACTCCATCTCAAAAATAAAAGAATGGAATGGAGTGAAATGGAATGGAGTGGAGTGGAGTGGAGTGGAATGGAATGGAATCTCTTGACCCCACTTCCTTGACTATCCCCCCATTTCTTTGATCTGCTTTGCAAAAAATTCCTTAAGTGATCTCTCTGTTTCCTGTTGTTGTTCTCCCATTCTGACTTAAATCCACTCTTGTCATGCTTTCACCCCTATCAGTGTGTCAGAACCATTCTTGTCAAGGTCAACAGTGACTTCATTTCTACTCAATCTAATTGTCAATTTTTAGTCTTCTTTCTACCTGACATATGACAAGCTTTTGATGCAATTGACCATTTCCTCCTCTGTTATACTTTTCTCCCTTAATTTCTAGGATATCACTCCAATTTTTCTCCTACCTGACAGGTTATTCTTTTTCAGTCTCCTTTGCTGGTTCCTCCCTTCCCAGACCTCTTAATGTTGAAGGGCCCAGGCCTTACCCTTGGTCCTCTTCCCTGCCTATACTCCCTCCCTTTGTAATCATATCTCATAGTTTCAAGGGTTTAAATATAATCCATATTCCATTGATTCCAAAGTATTCACCTCTAGCCCAAACCTCTCTTCTGAACTCTATACACATGTGTCTTCAACTACCTACTTAACATGTCTAAAACTGAACCCTGATCCTTCCTCCTGCCTCATATAGAGACTTTGCCATCTCAGCTGATAGTAACTTCATCCTCCCAGTCTCAAAAGCAAAAATCCTGCAAGTCATTCTTGGAGTCATCAGGAAGTCATGTTGGCTCTATCTTTAAAATATATGCAGACTCCGGGCCAGGCACGGTGGCTCACGCCTTAATCCCTGCATTTTGGGAGGCCAAGGCAGGCAGATCACGTAGTCAGGAGTTAGAGACCAGCCTGGCCAACATGCTGAAAGCCTGTCTCTACTGAAAATACAAAAATTAGCCAGACATGGTGGCCAGCACCTGTAGTCCCAGCTTTTTGGGAGGCTGAGGCAGGAGTTTTCAGTGTGCTGAGATCACACCACTGCACTCTAGCCTGGGCAACAGAGTGAGACTGTCTCATGAAAAAAATAAAAACAAAACACACACACACACACACACACACACACACACACACACACACAGACATGCACAGAATCTGGCTAGGCATAGTGGCTTACGCCAGTAATCCCAGTACTTTGGGAGGTAGAGGCAAGAGGATCACTTGAGTTTAGGAGTTCAAGACCAGCCTGAGCAACATAGTGAAACCCTGCCTCTACAAAAAAAATTAAAAAATTAGTCAGGCTTGTGATGGCATACACCTGTGTTCCCAGCTACCCTGGAGGCTGAGGTGAGAGAATCACTTGAGCCTGGGAGATTGAGGCTGCAGTGAACTGTGATCACTCCAGCCTGGGTGACAGAGCAAGACCCATCCCCTTCTTTCTCTCTCTCTCTGTGTGTGTATGTATTTGCAGAATCTTCTTATCACCACCTCTACTGTTCAAGTTGCCATAGTCTCTCTCCAGCCACCTACTGTGGTAGGTTCCTACCTTGGACCCTTGTTCCACCCTGGACATACACAGTGCCCAACAATCTGTACTCAGCACTGCAGCCAGAGTGAGTGAAACTTGCACTGCTTTGCTCAAAATCCTCCAAAGGCCTCTCATTTTATTCCAAGAAAAAGTCCTTGCAGTGTCTTACAAGGCCTTTCATGGTCTACACTGCCTCCCCATCCCTGCCCTTACTTCTCTAGTCTCATCCAGGGCTTCCTTTTTATTCTCAGACATGCCAGGTGTGCTCCTGGGTTTTCACACTGGCTGTTCCCTCTTCCTGGTATGCTCTTCTCCCAGAAATACACATGGCTGATACCCTCACTTTCCAGTCTTTGTTTAAATGTCACCATCTCGGCCAGGTGCGGTGGCTCATGCCTATAATCCCAGCGCTTTGGGAGGCTGAGGCGGATGGATCACCTGAGGTCAGGAGTTCAAGACCAGCCTGACCAACAGGGTTAAACCCCGTCTCTACTAAAAATTTGAAAATTAGCTGGGCATCGTGGCTGGCGCCTATAATCCCAACTACTCAGGAGGCTGAGGCAGGAGAATCACTTACACCCAGGAGGCGGAGGTTGCAGTAAACCAAGATTATGCCACTGCACTCCAGCCTAAGGGACAAGAGTGAGACTTCGTCTCAAAAATAAAAGTCACCATCTCAATGAAGTCTACCTTTACCATGTTTTTAAAACCTGAAGTCAAAATAAATAAATAAATATTTAAAAAAAAAAAACGTGAAGTCGGCCACCATTCCCATTATTCCTTATTTCCCTTATCTGTTTTACTTTTTTTGCCCCTATAGTATGTATTACCTTCTAACATTCCAAGTAATTTACACTAGAATATAAGCCACAGAAGGGCAGGAACCATGGTGTCTTGTTTCGTGGCGTCTACCAAGCATGTGGAACAATGCTTAGCACATACTAGGCCTCTTGAAAAATACTTGTCAAATAATCATAGTTCTCTTTCTTGAGGACCCAAAATGCTTGTTTTTCACTCAATTTGCTTATCTAAGCAGACAGCAGGATAGGATAGGAAAAAGTAGGCTGATGACTGGGGTCTAGGGTCTAGCCTGGGGGCCACACTTGCTATTTGTGTGACCATGGGCTAATTATAGTTGGGCTGGTTTCTGAAAGTTTATCAAGCTATATACTTATGATATATACTTTTTTTTGTAGGTATATGTAAATTTTTGAAGTTTTTCTCTATAAGACTCGGAAGGTAACTGGTAGTAACACTATGGGGAATATCTTCACATATTTTATCTCTATATGTAGACTTTTTAGAATAAAATTGAGACTCTACATGCTTTTTTACAAAACCATACATCATGAATTTTTTTATAACATGAAATATTCCTGCAGGGCATGATTTTTAATAGTTATGCAAGTACTTTGAAAAGAATAAGACATTGGCCGTGTGTGGTGACTCACTCCTGTAATCTCAGCAGTTTGGGAGGCCAAAGCAGATAAATTGCTTGAGTCCAGGAGCTCAAGACCAGCCTGGGCAACATGGTGAAACCTCATTTCTACAAAAAAATACAAAAATTAGCCAGGCATGGTGGCATGCACCTGTAGTCCCAGCTACTTAGGAGGCTGAGGTGGGAGAACCACCAGAGCCCAGGAGGTTGAGGCTGCAGTGAGCCATGATTGTGCCACTGCACTCCAGTCTGGGTGACAGAGTGAGACCCTGTTTCAAAAAAAAATAAAAAGAAAAAAAGAATAAAACATCATGCAGTGTACCATGGAAATATCATTCTTCCTTTTTTAAGAAGTTAAATTTTTGTTTTAAAGGATTTTGATTTCTTCCTTTTTCCTATAGGAGACATGGTCTCAAAGTATCGAGAACCTTTGATCCACACCTTCCTGAGGGGAGTGAGAGACCCTGATGGTGCTCACAGGGCTAGCAGCTTGGCCAACCTTGGTGAGCTGTGCCAGAGACTGGACTTTCTACTGGGCTCCGTGGTCCATGAGGTATTGTATTTTGATTCCTTTCTCTAAAGCGTATTTCACTTGGACCTATGATGCATCTTGGGATTGGGAGTCAGGAGACCTGGGCTCTTTTTGCAGATCTGCCACTGCCTCCCTATGAGACAGGGCAAGTAAGTCATTGAACTTCCCAAGGCTTCATCTGTCACACATGTATATTGAAAGTTATGTTAGTACAGTAGCTCACACCTGTAATCCCAGCACTTTAGGAGGCTGAGGTGGGTAGATTGCTTGAGGCCAGGAATCCAAAACCAGCCTGGTCAACACGGCGTAACCCTGTCTCTACTAAAATTACAAAAATCAGCCAGGTGTAGTGGTGCATGCCTGTAATCCCAGCTACTCAGGAGGCTTAGGCAAGAGAATCGCTTGAACCTGGGAGGCGGAGGTTGCAGTGAGCCAAGATCATGCCACTACACTCCAGCCTGGACAACAGAGCGAGACTCTGTCTCAAAAAAACTAAAACAAAATTATGTTAGTAAGGATTTCATAGTTGCAGCTGAGAGGAAGTCATCTTAACCTACCTTGAGCAATAAAAGATGATTTATCATAAAGATTCCCATGTAACTGACACAATTGGAGAAACCTTTAGGAAGAGTAGATAGAACTTTACCCTGAGTCTCCAGGCCATCTGTGAGTCTTATTTTCACTCACAGAAAAATCTCAGGCAAATACTCTGACCCTCTTTGGCCCGGGTACCCTGTGTTCAGGGAGATGGTGTTGTTTACCCCAAAAAAAAAAAAAAACACTTAAGTTCCATATTTTGCTCAGCATTTCACACCCAGTGCCTGCTATGTAGTAGCAGTAAATGATCGAAAAGATGAATGGTGAACAGTCAAAATGATAGCCATACAAGGTGTCGGGGATAGAAGCTCCTCTGGTTTCAGAGCTTTTTTATCATTATTATTATTTTTTGAAACAGAGTTTCGCTCTGTCACCCAGGCTGGAGTGCAGTGGCACAATCTCGGCTCACTGCAACCTCTGCCTTCCAGGTTCAAGCCATTCTCCTGCCTCAGCCTCCCATGTAGCTAGGACCACAGACATGTGCCACCACACCCGGCTAATTTTTGTATTTTTAGTAGAGATGGAGTTTTGCCATGTTGGTCAGGCTGGTCTCAAACTCATGACCTCAGGTGATCCGCCTGCCTCAGCCTCCCAGAGTGCTAGGATTACAGGCATGGGCCACCGCACTTGAACTCAGAGTTTGTTACTTAATGAAATGTGTCTGTCACCCCTGGCCTCTATGAGTGTCTTCCTCTAGCCTCTTAAATTGTACCTTTGCCTTGTATGTATGTACTCATAAATATTTCAGTATATATCTTGAGTATCTACTGTGTACACTCACTCTGCTATTTATAAATGATGATAGACAGAAAAAGACTAGTTAACATGTGGCCAGGAGTCTTTACTATCAATGTATATGACCACCTTAAATTGTTTTTTGGAAGAAGATGCCTTATAAGTTGATTATAAATAAGTGAAATACAGTTTAAATTACCTTTTTTTTGAGACAGAGTTTCACTCTTGTTACCCAGGCTGGAGTGCAATGGCGCAATCTCGGCTCACCGCAACCTCTGCCTCCTGGGTTCAGGCAATTCTCCTGCCTCAGCCTCCTGAGTAGCTGGGATTACAGGCACACGCCACCATGCCCCGCTGATTTTTTGTATTTTTAGTAGAGACGGGGTTTCACCATGTTGACCAGGATGGTCTCGATCTCTTGACCTCGTGATCCACCCGCCTCGGCCTCCCAAAGTGCTGGGATTACAGGCGTGAGCCACTGCGCCCGGCCACAAATTACCTTTTTTTTGAGATGGAGTCTCTTACTCTTTCACCCAGACTGGAGTGCGGTGGCACATTATCGGCACACTGCAACCCCCATCTCCAAGTTTCAAGTAATTCTCCTGCATTAGCCTCTTGAGTAGCTGGGATTACAGGTACATGCCACCACACCCGGTTAATTTTTGTATTTTTAGTAGACATAGGGTTTTTCCATGTTGACCAGGCTGGTCTCGAACTCCTGATCTCAAGTGATTTACCTGCCTTGGCCTCCCAAAGTGCTGGGGTTGTAGGCATGAGCCACCACACCTGGCTAATTTTTATATTTGTAGTAGAGCCAGCATTTTGCCATGTTGGCCAAGCTGGCCTTGAAGTTCTGACCTCAGATGATCCACCTGCCTCAGCCTTCCAAAGTGCTGGGAATACAGGAATGAGCCACCACATCTGACCACCTGTTTATTGATAAGAGATCCAGACTTCTCATATAGAGCACATAACTTCATAAGAACTACAACTTAGAAAACTGTAATGCTGGCTTCTTTTTACAACATTCAGTATGCTAGGGCTGACTACATTGAACAGTGAATCAAACGTGTGTGTGTGTGTGTGTGTGTGTGTGTGTGTGTGTGTAGGGACAGGGTCTTGCTCTATCACCTTGGCTGGAGTTTAGTGGCACAATCATAGCTTGCCACAGCCTTGAACTCGGCTCAAGCAGTCCTCCAACCTCAGCCTTGCAGGTAGCTGGGACTACTGGCACATGCCACCACACTCACCTAATCATTTTTTGTTTTTTGTAGAAACAGGGTCTCACTATGTTGCCCAGGCTGGTCTTGAATTCCTAGACTCAAGTGATCCTCCTGCCTTGGCCCCCCAAAGTGCTGGTGATGTAGGATTTTTCTTCTCAGACACTTTGCAAGCCAGGGACCTCTGGCCAGGAACACCCCACCCTGGCCTCACTCAGCTATGCTGGCATGCCCCAGCTCACCTGTGTTATAGCTTGTACCATGTTCTGCAGTTCCCAAGCTCTTGTACCACACCCAAGAAAAATGAGGATACACTGGACATTGAAGGGTGAGGAGGGCGGAGAATAATTGTATTAAGTGAGAAACAGCTCTCAGCAGAGAAGGGAGCTGGAGAGAGGACGTGAAGGGCAGGTTGTCTTCCGCAATGTCAAGTTGTCTCTTCCATGACATCCACCCATCTCCCCCTCTGCTGATGTCTGAAGCACAAGATTCATGCTGATTCATTTGTTAGTATGCAAAAAAAAGGTTAAAACAAAGGCACCACTCAAAGGTGGGCGCAACAGTATAGGAAACCAATTAAGAAAGGGTAGGTATATGTAAAATAGGTGAATGGTGGGGACCAATCAGAGGAAAGTGTGTCAAACAAGAAGACAAGCTTTCAATCCAGTCAGAGTTTAACTTGTAGCTTGGCTTTTGGGCTTTAAACTCTCTTGGGCTTGGAGGTGAGGTTTCACCAGGTACCTGCCCCTATCCACCTAGGCATTTGGCTGCCTCCTGTAGATGTCACTGAGATTACAGGTGTCAGCCATTGCACCTGGCCTTTTTTTTTTTTTTTTTCACTAGGTTATTTTTAAGACAAGGTATGATTTCTCATTTTCTGTTCTCAGCATAAATTTTAATTCTTTCTAGTGGAACCAAAACCTCCTGAACCCCTTTCAGTGTCATCCAAATCTTAAACTTCTTCTATTCCTGGATAAAAAAAAATTGTTCACAAATGAGCTATGCACCTTTTTTCCTTTTTTGACTTCAAACTTTTTTTGTTTTTGAGACAGAGTCCCACTCTGTCGCCCAGGCTAGAGTACAGTGGCGTGATCTCAGCTCACTGCAGCCTCCGCCTCCCAGGTTCAATCGATGCTCTTGCCTTAGCCTCCCAAGTAGCTGGGATTACAGGTACTCATCACCATGCCCAGCTAATTTTTGAATTTTTAGTAGAGATAGAGTTTCACCATGTTGGCCAGACTGGTCTCAAACTCCTGACCTCAAGTGATCCGCCCACCTTAGCCTCCCAGAGTGCTGTGATAATAGGCGTGAGCCACCCCACCCGCCAACTTCAAACTTTTCTTTGCCAAAATAGAACAGTATACCACCAACATTTACACTATAATCTTTCTCTCGACACCAGCTTCTACATCTATAAAGTGTTTTGCAGCCAAACCAGACCATGGAGCCACTCTTCCATAACACGCAGAAGGAAGGGCTATCTGAGTGTCCATTTTCACAATAACTTTCTTTGTGGGTGATATTGTATCATAGGTCAATATGTCATAGCCGGCAGGCTGCATGGACCCCTGGGTTGAGGCCGTGGGTTGTTCAGAGAGCAGGGCAAAGCGAGCTGCATGCTGCCCTCCTCTGTAGGCTGGGCCTGCTAGCTGGGGAAAATGGCATGTGTCTTATCAAAGTAGGGCATGGCAGAATGAAAAGGTGAATGGAGAGGATCAAATATTTTTGTTTGTTTGTGACGGAGTCTTGCTCTGTCACCCAGGCTGGAGTGCCGTGGTGCAGTCTCAACCCACTGCTACAGTCTCAACTCACTGCTGCCTCTGCCTCCCAGGTTCCAGCAGTGAGAGGATCAAATCTTAAAAAGGACCTACTGAGGGGACTTTTTCCTTTTTTTTTTTGAGATGGAATCTCGCTTTGTTCTCCAGGCTGTAGTACAGCGGTGCAATTTCAGCTCATTGCAACCCCCACCTCCTGGGCTCAAGTGATTCGCCTGTCTTAGCCTCCTGAATAGCTGGGATTACAGGCGTGAGCCACCATGCCCAGCTAATTTTTGTGTTTTTAGTAGAGATGGGATTTCACCATCTTGGCCAGCTGGTCTCTAACTCCCAATCTCAGGTGATGCCAGCACCTCGGCCTCCCGAAGTGCTAGGATTACAGGTGAGAGCCACCAAGCCCAGCCCTGAGAGGGAATTTTCTTCAATGTCTGGCAGTTGTGTCATATCAGTAAGCAGAGAAGCACACTCACAGATGTATGCATTCACTTGAATTTATGGTATTTCCTGATTCTTAAGCTTTATATATTTTGCTTTATTTAGTTATAAGGGCTACTCTTGTCATTAAATTTTAACCTAGGATTTTCAGGAAAGTTACATGTTAGTTCTTTCCTTTGAGTCTTCTCTAAGGGATCACCAGGCATACCCCTGTTCCCCAGTTTTATATCTTCTTTTTTTAATAACTTGAAACAATAAT